CAGCCGCTCCATTCGTGACCCCTCCACTTAGAACTTAGAACTTTGTGTGCTCCCCCTCCCGCTCCCGAGTCACCCCCCGCGTGGGCGGCCGGGAGGCCCCTAGATCCCGTCGGCCGGCCCTCCCCCTCTCCTCCTCCTCCTCCCTCACCGCCGCCCAAGGCCGCGGCCAGACGAAGCCTTGCCATCGCCGCCGGCGGCGGGGACTCGGGCCCTCTCGCTCGTGTGGGGCTGGCGCGGGCCGGCGCCCCCGGGTCGGAGCGTGGCGGCGGGCCGGACGCCACATTGGGTGGTGGCGGCGCCTCGGCGATTTCGCTCCCCCGCGGCAGAAGGCCTCGCTATCTGGTGCGTCGTGGTCGCCGGGGACGCCGCCGGCGTGACCGGATCGGTTCGCGGCGGCGCGGCCGGATCTATGCCCAAGCGTGGGCCTTGATCGGTGGACTGCCGTCGGCACGGTGGCGGGTGCGACTCGTCGGCAGCTGGGCAGATCCGCCGGGATTCTACCCTTGTCTGACCGGATTGTGACCCAGACCCGGTATGTGGCTCGGCTGGGGCTTCCGGCTTTTGATGTTAGGCTTAGGTGAGTGGTCTGGGTAGTGTCCCAGCTAGCACCCCTTCATCATATGGACAGGAGTAGCGGCAGATGTTGCCAAGATGGTGGATTCAGGCATATCGTTGTAATACTTTGTAAGGTCCTCGAGAATAATCAATAAAGTGGCCGTATGTGTCTCCCAGATGCAGAGGCCGGGGGTCATCCTCCTTTTCTAAAAAAAAATTCGTGACCCCTCCATCGTAAGCCCGTACACGCGCGTACACAGCGGCGCAATGGCTGTATTGATTGATTATTGAGTGCATAGCGTACGTGTGTTTTGGTTGTATGGATGCATGAACGAATCAAAGCGTCAACGGCCAAATGCATGCAGAGTAGTACATCGCGGCGTACGCAGGGGGTGGTGTATGGTATGGGTATGGCGAGCAGCCGAGCACGCGGCGCTGCGGGGGGTGCAGAGCATGTACGCCGCGGGGAAGGTGCGGATGCGCGTGTCAGAGTTCCACCTCGGCGACCAGACCGTCGCCGCCGCGCAAGGCCGCGCCGAGGTGGGCGGCTTCGTGCTCTGGTACTTCGAGTTCATCATGGGCGGTTAAGAGATGAACGCATGCTGTGCTGTGCCGCTTGGCCTCCGGCAGCGCGACGTCATCGGCACTCCACGTCGTGGACAAGGTCGGTTACATGAAGTCGGAGCTGATCCAGATGGCCGCCATAATGGCCAGATCAAGGGGCAAGCGGGCTGCTTGTGGCCTCGCGCAGCGCAAGTGAGATCGTCGACGACATATAGTTCGCGTGCCGTCATTGCCGCATCCTGTGCGCTGCGGCGGGATGCCAGTCGCCACGAGCCACTGTCGGGCCGCCACTGCACACGCACGCAAAGCCGCGGCCATGCTCTGGTTGCAGGCGGTGGTGATGTCGAGTAGGTGAGGGTGCGTCGTTCGTGAGGACGCCGGCGGGCCGCGCCCTGCACGTGCAGAGAGGAAGTGCGCACTCGCGGGATGCGATGGAGTCGCTGGAATTCGTCGGGGACACCTTTGCTCGACTTGGCGTACTGCCGGACCGGCGAGTTCGGACTGGCGATGGAGACGCTCGGCCAGATGATGAGGCCAGAAGACGCACTGCATGTGTTCGACAATATCCATCCTCGTCTTTCCTGATGCCACCAAGGGAACCCTTGTTTGGATACAACCTCAAGGTTAAAAAATGACCGGGATTATAGGACACAAGGTACAAATTTCAAGGACTTAAATGTGAGGGTTCGTTTCTGACTAGGTTCTACAACTTCAAGGTTTTAAGCAGACTTCATTCCTACTTTGTAAATTTAAAAGGTGTACAAATGTTTTAAAAAAAGGGAATAATCTTCTCCAAAGCTTCATGATTACAATATATCTTCAGCTTAGTCTCTTTGTTGGAGACATGTGTGAAACTTGTTGATTGCACAGATTAGTATGGGCCAGAAACATGAAACTTTATATACGCTGTACAATTTTAAAATATACATTGAACATTTTCTGATATATGTTGAAGAGATTGTTTTTCTGTTAAATTTTTTTTCTTCTCCTTTTTGTGTATTATAAACAGTTCACCGTGTATTAAAAAATGTTCATCGCATATTTAAGAAAATATTCACCATATATTCAAGAAAAAGTTCACCGTATATTAATAAAATGTTCAACGTACTTATTGTTTTCATTGTGTATTTGAAAATTGTTCAGTGTATATCTCAAAAAGGTTCAACGTGTATTAAATTCTTTTTACCATATATCACAAGAATGTTCAATGTATATTTTTAAAATTTTCAGTGTATATATAAAATTGTTCATTTTTTTCAATTTCCGTACACCTTTCCCTTTTCCAAGGTTTTGTTCGGATTTTGAATTTTCTTTCACATTTTATTTTAGAACAACGCCGGCTTTTGTAGCCAGAGGTCCGGAGGTCGACTCCGCGCGCCGCCTTTTTATTTCTCGTGAAGTTTTACATTCGGTTCCTGTGAATGGGCCAGCCCGTTTGTTTCTTAAAAGAGGCTACTGGCGCTGGCGGTCCACCAAAGCCCATATGCCCCAGCGGTCGCCGAACCAAATCCTCGTCTCCTTCCTCCGCTATGCCCAGGTCGACGTGTTTCTCCAAGGCCCCCTAGCCCCTAGGTACCGTGGCCGCCGCCGTCTCCACCCGCACAAAATCCCTACTCACCGCACGTTCGCGCCCACGACAGCCGACCCCGCCCCCCTCCCGCGACCGGTGCCCCGCCGTCAAGGGTCTCCGAGGCCGATTCCACTCTGTTCACGGCGGCGGCAGAGCAGAGTGCTCCGGCGGCCGGCGGAACCCGGGGTCCGTCAAGCTCGTGGAGACGGGATTGGGAGCACCGCTTGACCAGACAGGCGTCCGCTCGCCTCGGCCCTCGGACCCCACCCCCGCCGATGACGCCGACGCCGGCGCGCGCCTCCGCCGCCGCGGCCCACGCCCTGCTGCGCAGAACGAGGTCCGCGCCAGCCCTCTCTCTGCCCCCCTCCTCCATCCGCGATTTGTTCTGCTCCGGCTCATCCATTCTCCACCTTCTCCCCCAAAACCGCAGATGCTTCGCCGCGGCGAATCGGATCCGGACGGCCTCGAGGGCCTTCTCCAGCGCTCCGGCGGGAGCGTCCGAGCCGCAGGTACATTTCCTCTCCGCGAATCGCATGTGCAGTGGCCCATAGAGTTTAGAGAATTACGAGATCGATTGAGGTTTATTCTGTCCGTGAACATTTAGGGCCCGGAGAAAGTTGGTGGTGTGAGAGCCGGAGACGACGAGCTTGATGTTGCTATCGTCGGTGGAGGCATGGTGGGCCTGGCTGTTGCTTGTGCACTCTGTAGGTATTTGCTGCCTTTGTGTACCTCTGTTCCTTACTTCCAATTGTTCATGAGCTCAGCTTCGTGTTGCTCTTAGTCTGAGAATCGATCCTTATACGCCGCAGAATTAGTTATAAAAGGAATGTTGACACCATTAAGGAATGTTGACACCATTGGAATAAAGTTCTCCCTGCCATTTTACTAGTTCAATGTCAAGTAGTATTGCAAATATTGGTAGTGCAGGATAGTCTGGGGGCTGTACGAAAACATCTTGTGTATGAATTTGACAATCCTACGCTATGGTTGTTTTAGATTAGAAATACCAGTTCTGTATATAATATTGGGTTTACTCTTATTCACCCTTACATGCAGCCAATATGCCATTGACCAAACACCTGCGAGTTGCCGTCATCGATAGCAATCCTGCATTGAAGTCAACGAATTATCTGAAGAAAGATGGTATACCTGATTCAAGGGTCAGCACTGTTACTCCTGCAACCATTTCCTTCTTCAGAGGTAAGTTTGTTAATATAAAATCGATATGTCATTGCTTGTTTCAAGCCAGAATTCTGCGAATGTTTGCTGTGTACAATATCTGGAGCTAAAGCATGCTTAGTATGTTTTGGTGATAATTCAGAAAGGTCGATCCCTTTTGTTGGGTTTGACAGTTGTTTAAACAAGACATGCTACTAGCCTTTAAATTGATCTGGAGAACCCATCTATGCTTACATTAGATTTGTTCCTATAATCTCGAAGTGCTTCACTCATAACCTACTGCTTTGTGATGTTAGCTAAGTAACTGATATGTGCTTAGCACTTGTCATCGTGCAATATCCAGCTGAGCTGCATTTCTTGTTTACTGTAGTGATAACCTGGAACTTCATGTCAAATAGGCACAATCACGGATGGTGCTGCCAACTCTGCTGATCTATATATACCCATTGTTCCTTTTTTGCCACTGGTTGTGCCTAATCATAAATTTGATTAAATGTGTGGCACTATTTTCGCTTATTGAGGATGAAAAGTGGAACGCTTGACAACATGTAGTTTCAGAAGTACAACATCTTAAAACATTCCTTATTATGTGTTTGTAGCTACTTCATTTTATTTAGTAGCTATAGTATTGTATAGTTTGACATATATTTCATACTTGTATGATGTCACGTGACAGATATTGGTGCATGGGAGCATATTCTACAGCAGAGACACGCTTTCTTTGGTAAAATGCAGGTGATGACATGCAATTTTCATCATATGGATGGTGATTAGCTTTCTGTGTTCACCTGCTTTCTACCACTATATCTATTCCTACACTAGATATAATAATTTATATATGTTGGTGTTCCTATGATTGATAGATTGTCAAATCAAACTAAAATGACATTTCATGATTTATCTGTCTGCTTATTTCCTATTTCTTCTGTTCCAGGGGAAGAATAATTATGGGTTAACATGTAAGCAAGTTTGTTAATAAAGCATAGAAAACATAAATACCTTGGCAGTTTAATGGGCAATAGCATTTTTGTGGGCCTTTTGAGCTGGGCTGGAGAGGGCAGGCCTGGCGCAATGGTGAAGTCCTCCCCACTTGTGCCAAGAGGTCCTGGGTTCGAACCAGCCTCTCTGCATTGCACTTCGCAGGGGTAAGACTAGGTTCCTATAATCCCTCCCCAGACCCCACCTTGTGTGGGAGCTTCTATGCACTGGGTCTGTCCTTTTTTTTTTGAGCTGGGCTGGCTGTAAAGGATGCCTGTCATGTTGTTTTTGATATATGGATGATTCTATATAGAGGACAAGTACATCTAGTTCTATCATATCAGTTCCTTATATACATGAAAAACTTGTAGCATAGATATCCGCTAAAGATGCAGTATCCTGTAGATATATTATGCATTGTTTGAAAGCTGGCCAGTTGTATTCAATATTGTGACCTGAACTCTTAAGCAGATTTTTCTGTCATCTTTGTATAAGAATCATATCTTCACCTCCCTTGCGTGTCTTCTGACATCATGGGATTAAATATGTTTTGGTAACTGAACTCATGTTATGTTTCTGATATTAGTATATCTTCCGCACAATCCTAATAAACTTTAAATTCCAGTGCTAAAGCTTGAGAGGGGAATTCAGAATTATGCTAGGCAGCCCTTACATTGCATAGTAACTGTAATGCCGTGAATGGATATGTTGATATTGTCACCTACAAACACCATAAATGAATGGTATAAATGCTATATAACTTATGAGAGGGACAAACGTTGACTTGCTGTTCTTGGTTAGTTTTAGCTATCAACGTTGTTTATCAATCTGATTATTGTGTTGCTCTATTAAACCTATGTGGTAAGCATTATTATTTTTGCCTCCGATCTGCATCATCTTAATGTACCCTTAGTTGCATGTTGCTCATTGAGGAAAAACTACTGAGGCTCCATTCAAGTACATGGTTTCTTTTGATGTGGTCTGACTTAACTTTATTTAGGACATTCGAGGGTTTCATGGTTTGTTCTTTTAAAACATGATAAGCAAAGAAAGTTTCACTAAATATGGCAGATGCTCATGCAGTAACCCTCCCCTCATAGAACATGGCAACAAATAGCGTGTCCTTAGAGTGCATCCTGGGGAATTTTGGCAAGTTCATTGTAGTGACTTGCAGCTCTGCTGCTTTACTTTATTAACTACCTGAGGTGTTATGTTAGATTTGTAGCATATAGTCTCATTAAACTAGCTTATTTCTGTCCTGATATGTTGAAGTACTTGCTTATAGTTATATCCAACCTTATGGTACAACCTTAACTCTCTATGGTCCATAACATGGCTGTTTCAAGGCACATGTTTAAATATGGGGTGATTTAGACTTAGTTTGTTTCTTTACTAAATAGGGTACATATCTTTCTAAATTTATGATTTATTTGGTCCTTGACTGAATATGGTGCAAACCTCAGTGCCAACTTGATTTCTGCAACCGATGGTCCATGTATAAAAATATGTTGGTTAACTTCATCATGTGCTTGATAAGACTCAGAGCAAGTCGCTGATGCTTTTCTATTGAATCCATTTGGTTCATATGTCCCAGTGAACCAAATTGAATGAACTATTGAATTGATCACAATAAAAATGATGAAATGGAACATGCAACAAATGCTTCACACTTTCAAAGGGATCCCACTCAATTTCCAAATGGAACATAAATACATTGACATAGTGGTATACTTTATTCTGCCCCTGTTTTACCTAGCCCGTTTCATTTAAATTCCGGATATTATAGATTACTTGAAGCTTAACTATGATTGGATGGTACATATTGTATGCCTTATTTTATGCATATTAGGCCATTATTATGTGATCTTTTTCATGGCAACTTTTCGGCCATATGTACATGCATTAGCATGCCTCCTTTACCTTTGGTCCTGTTCTCTTTTATTTGTTGCGCTTGCAAACAATGACAGCAACAGTTTCTTCATTCTTATTTATTGTACTTGCACACAACAAGAACAACAGTTTCTTCCAACTTATTTGCTGCGCCTGCACACAACAAGACCAGCAGTTTCTTGCTTTATATAGTGGGTTTTCAACATAAGCATTGATTGCAATTTGACTCATTTTCGCTGGCAGGTGTGGGATTACACTGGACTGGGATACACAAGGTACAACTCAAGAGATGTGTGCAAAGAATATCTTGGGTATGTTTGAACGGGAGCTGCTGTAAACCTCTAATTATCTGATAAACTTTTTTTTCCCACTGGTTCATTGATAACCTTTTGCTTTGCTTTTCCGTTATTTAGATGTGTGGTGGAGAACAAGGTGCTTTGCAACTCACTTCTGTTACGCCTACAGGTCTGTATTTTTCGATAAAATTTCGATGATTTTGATCCGCATCTAGATGTTAGATGTTTGAACTTGTCTAATACGACCTCACTCCATACAAATGGTTTGTTTCCTAGTTTATAAACTTGTTGAATACAGTACAGCTTTGCAGCCCACATATTCAAGAGAGCAAAGTAAATCTTATACAAGAGACCTTTGTCATAAAAAACAGATGTACTTGCTTTTACGGCACCTAATTCCCATATATTAGTTTTTTATTAGCTGTACACGATGATTAGTTACCGACAACATATTTTGTTAGAACTGTTGGTCATGAAGCACAGTTCAATTTTGTGTGTGGCATTAATAGTCCTCATAAGGTAATCTCAAATATCCTAAAAATGTCAAAGAACAGAACACATGGAAATTAATGGCTGCGTGGTTTCCAGCTAGATGTTGCACTTATATTGTTATCTGACTTTCTTTTCCATCTTAATAGTCACCTAAATTGCTACTTAAGATGTTTGCCTTACCAGGAGCAAAAGGAAGACATTAAAAAGATGGTCTACCCTACCCGATTGGCGTCTCTTGCTTTCCCATCAAAGAGCAGAAATGTAGGAGTAGCAGGACTGAAGCCACCATCAACTGAGGCGGAGGAACTACGCCGTAGTAATTTGGTTAAACTTGACCTAAGTGATGGACAGACTTTATATTCAAAGTTGGTGGTAAGTTCCTATATATGATTCTCCATTCATTCAAACTTTTGTATCTCGTCGTTGCCGTCAGTCACTTATTTTAAGTTATGGTCGCAGGTAGGAGCTGATGGTTCCAAATCCAATGTAAGGCAGATTGCGGGCATAAAAACTACTGGTTGGAGCTATCCTCAGAGTGCGATTATCTGTACAGTAGAGCATACTGCAGCGAATGACTGTGCATGGCAGAGGTTTCTCCCTTCTGGTCCGATTGCCCTGCTTCCAATAGGCGACAACTTCAGCAATATAGTGTGGACAATGAGCCCAGAGGAGGCATCACGCCATAAGTCAATGAGCCCTGAAGATTTTGTGATGTCAGTGAACCGTGCATTGGATTTTGGTTATGGACCGCATCCCAACTCTAGTAGTCTTGACCATTACGTGGAAAGGTTATTTTCTGACTTTGGAGGTACTGCAGCGTCTACAAAAGAATGCTTTGAAGTACCACCAAGGGCAACTGGGCTGATCTCAGAGAGAATGGCATTTCCATTGTCACTGATGCACTCCCATGATTATGTTTCAAAAAGGCTAGCATTAGTTGGTGATGCTGCTCATACAGTGCACCCCTTGGCCGGTCAAGGTGTCAATTTGGGTTTTGGAGACGCAGCTGCCTTAGCGGAAGTTATTTCTGAAGGAGTTTCTGTTGGTGCTGATATTGGGGATGTAAGTACCTAATATTGCTGTGTTTTGGTTAGATTTATGCAGATACTACTGTATCTAGCTTCATGAGCAACTCTTAATACTATGATGAGCTGGTCATCCAGCAAGCTTAATCTTCCTTACTTTGACTCTTAATACTATGATGCATATACTGGTTACTCTAGTATAAACAAGATATTTATCGTCACAGCAGACTAACCAAAACTTTTTCCGTTTGTCAGCTGTCTTTGCTGAATCGGTATGAGAATGACCGCAAGGCTGCCAATGTTGCGATGGCGGCAGTTCTAGATGGCTTCCAGAAGATGTACTCTGTCGATTTCGGACCCCTCAATGTTCTGAGAGCCGCTGCATTCCATGGTGCCCAGTACATATCACCACTGAAGAAGAACATAATTTCTTACGCAATGGGCGACAGGAAATCGCCTCTGTTTTCATAAGCAGCAGGTCTTACAAACTTGTTGGTTCTTGGCTGTCACTGCAGCACTGTACCGAAATGCGTTAGTTCTAACTAGTATCGTGTATGTTTGGCAGTATCTTCTAAGCCAGTACCATATCCCACCTGAGAAACGTTAGGTTGATAAAATGTAACAAGTGCTCCTTCTGTCTCAAAATGGAAGACATTTTTTTGACACTATCATAGATTTGTAGTGTCAAAAAACGTCTTACATTTTGAGAAGGATGGAGAGTAGTTAATACTAGTAAATAAGATTATGTATATCCTGGATTTGTTTTCATCTGTATAAGGCTTGTTCAGTACTTTGCTTGCCATGGAAGATTAGTTTATTTTTGTTGGCACCATTTTTTATCTGGATGTTATATATGCAAAATGCAGAGCATTATACAGTCAGGGTCCAGGGGTTCAGGGTATCTGCCCTAAGGGGGGCAGGCTATATGTTTTTTCATTTCTCAGCGGCACATGCCATCTGTTGTTTAGAGCGCTATATTTTGCAGCACATTATCTGGGTACGCTTGTTTTTATATATATAAAAAAAAATCAACCAGGATTTCGACTTGGGGGTTCGTTTCGCCCAACCTCTACGAGTTTAGGGTTTAAAATGGACTTTTTTCCTTTGAGAAAATGTGTAACAATGTAGGCACGTTTAGAAGGTGAAGCCTTATGATTTTGTCAGACTGTGACAGTTGTTTACCTCCTGCCACGGGACAGATCAGGATAAATGTACATGGAGTTCTGATGAAGATTACGAATGGCCAAGGCTCGAGGCTATTGCTACCCTTGTTGTTATGCCTGAATATTCGAGTACGTACGTACGTCCCGCGAACTCAACCAAATCTGGGACTCTCGCCAACCACAAAAGCGCGCGGTGCAGTTTGGATCGGAAACCTTCACCGAACATAAGCGACGTGAACAATTAATTAAATTAACTCAAACACAATCCTGTGCGTGCGCTGCGTACCCACCAGATGATGAACGGCTTGCGCCGCCTCCTCCCCCGGCTCCTCCGCCGCGAGCCCATGGCGGCCGTCCGCGCACGGCAGCCTCGGGTGCCGCCCGGGTACCACGGCCACCACGTCGCTAGACCCGCCATCCGTCCACGACACTACTGCGCTTCGCCGTCTAGCCCGACCACACTGACCCGCTTGGGCTCCCGTTGGTACCACGACCCACGGAAGGTCGCCGCGTCGGTGTCCGTCGTCGCTGCCGCCATATGCTACCAGTCCCTCGAGGTGATTCCATGGACCAACCGTGCGCACTTCATCTTCCTGTCCCCTCAGTCGGAGCGAGCGCACGGACTCGCCGAGTTCGCCGACTACAAGCAGGAAGTGGCCTCCAAAATCCTCGGCCCGCGCCACCCTCACAGCGTCCGCGCCCGTCGCATCGCCGAGAGGATCATCCACGCCGGCATCGACGACACTGTCATCCTCCGCGTCGCCAGCAACCGGCACAAGGGAAAGGCATGGCTACCTCCGCCTCAGACGAGGCATCTCCATGGGCTCGATTGGGAGGTGATCGTGGTGGACCATAAGGGCAACACCGGCGCGTACTGCACGCGCGGCGGTAAAATCGTACTGTACACGGGATTGCTAGACCACTTCAAGACCGATGGTGAGATTGCATTTGTCATCGCTCACGAGGTAGATCCGTTGGACTAATGAGTTCATCTCATGTTTCCTTCATTTTATGGGATTATTTTCAGGTGGGCTCAAATTAACATTCACATCTTTTTCTTAGG